AGATCGGGTACTTGATGCCATTGGAATCGGCTAACAACATTGCTGTTAGGCGGTCTTTTTCATGTCCAGATCCCTTCACCCAGACCGTCTTTGTTCCTTTTGCTTGGATCGTTTTCTTGGGAACGTATTCATAGTTGATACCAGTCTCATCGGCATTGAAGTTCTTTTCGATTTCGTGCTCGCGAACAACATGTCGAATTCGCGAAGCAAATGCATCAAGGTTTGCTTGTCCTTGTTCGTGATTTGCTTGACCAGACCTGCTTTTGGAACGCATCGACAGCCTCCAACGCCTCAAGAATCATTTCATCCATGGTGCGCTCGCACGAAATTGGTCCAGTGTGAGCCCAATGTCTGCCGCAACTTCACGTTGCTGACTGGAATGCCTTCTCTGCGCAATTCGTTGATCCAGGCGACTGATCCTTCTTCCGCAGCTTCCAATGTCGAAGACGTTCCCAGGGGTCTTAATGATCTCTTGTTTTGTAGAGTCGTTTTGCTGGCCGCCTCTTCAACTTCCTTTCGATTTTGCTCCAAGCGGTAAATTCGTTTCCATGCTGTTTTGCGTGTTGTACCGGTGGCTCCCGGAAATTACATCTCAATGGCGTAGTTCGGTGAGTGATCTCGGGCAACGTTGATGATGCAAAGCTTGTGTACGACTGTGTATAGCGATTTCTTGTATGTTATGGCAACGCGTTTAGTGTTCTTGATCGATGGGCGTCCTCTTGCCTTGCTATCCCCAATGCGCGCCATGGAGTGCGCAGATATCCCGCCCAAAGTAATCAAAATACTCGCTTAAATTCAATAGAATCAAATGTCAAAGGTATTTCAACATACCAAAGTACTTGTAAAAATATATTCTCTGGAGTAGACTACAGAAATCCCATTCAACAAATCAACTACGGTATATAAAATTGAATTTAAACGCGGAACCAACACTCCTACTCATCCTCGTCGTCGATACCGACTGTTTTGAGCGCTGTCAATATATCGCTTATTTTCAAGTCCAAGGTAGTTTGGAGTGACAACTCACGCGTCACCATCGCCATGTCTTGCTGAGCAAGAAAGCCTCGGCCGGTTTCGACGACGTCTTCGCTGCAGCTCGCCGACTCGGGTAGCTGTCCACTCTTACTGAGGGCTCCTTTCTTCATGTGCGGGATCTTGTAGGAGTTGTCGCCGGCAACCATGTTTACCTCGCGGAGACAGCACTGTAAGGTATGGAAGTTGCGTTCCAACGACCACGGGTCGACATCGTCCCAGGCCTTGTTCGTTGCGTCCACGATCTCTTGGTAGGTGTTGGAGCGTCTGCTGGAGCGACTGGATGGCCCGAAAGAACCCGAGATCCAAGACGTTCAATATATTGTGCAAAAAGATTAAACATAGCTTTATAAAGGTTTTACCACTGATTTTTGACCGGATCGCGGCGATGGCGTCCGTCAGCCAAGGAGCTGCGTCCTTCCTTCCACAGGCGAGCTATGGTACGCAAGTGGGAGTCATACAGCTGGGATTGGGCCTTGAAAAAAACCCATACGGAAGCTTGCCGCCGACAGAGAGTTCTAAGAGGCTCTCATGCATGGGCTCCGCGCCTCTGGTCGGCCCTGAGGTTCTTTGTGCGTCTGACGCTGTCAGGTAATGGGCTCATGGCAACGCTGGCGTTGTGGCAGTGTGTAGAGGGTCGTGGGATGTGTGTGTGTCTTAAACGAGTGGAAATTCTGAATGAACGAGTGACAGGTCAAAATGTTGAGCTGCTTTGGCGGGAGCCAAAGCAGAAAAGTGAAATTAACTTCACTTGATTCGCCTGAAATCGACCAATCACACTATTGTCCAACGGAACTAACAGTTGGCACGGAATTCCGCCCGAACGTATACAAATTCAGTTTTTTAAAAAGAACTTCGGTGTCCGACAATAGACGGTATTTTAATGCTATACTTGGTACAAGTAATGGAAATTGGACATTGATGTCCCATCAATAGTGAGAGGACCAGGTGTTTCGTTGCCAACTGCTAAACACTGGTATGAATTATTCCAGGGTTCAACGATCATTGTCGACCACTTTCAGGCGATTCACTTAGACTTCCCTTGTCATGAGCGTGAATCATGTGGACATTGCCTCTGACGTCGGTATGGCGTTCATCGCGCCCCTCTGTGTTGTCCTGGACGAGACATGCACCACCATCTTGTAAAACAACATTTGAACTGTGCCATAGAGAACTCATCATAATTGCTCCGTGAAGTAGATGATGAGAAAACGAAGTCGGCAAGTGCGTCGAACTGACATGGGATCCTGCTGGATTGGATGGCCAGCAGAACTTTCGTGCTCAGCAGCCGCTGTGGTGGGAAAGGAAGAGGGCTTTGTTGCATGTACGAGCCAAGGGCACCTGGGGGCGTCTAACACCTGGTAAAGCAAACATTATAGGGCATCTGCTTCACACGAAGTCAGCGCTACTGGACGGCTGCATCCGTTCCATAAATGAATTGGAGTGATGTGCGGCATTTGAACGCTACGGGCACCGTCAGCAACACACCACGCATCGACTAAGTAGTTTGAAGTGACGCCTAGATGACGAGTCTTGTGCAAAACATGGACCAAGACCAAACCCTGCGTGTAAAGAGCGCACGTGAATGCATTGCTGTGTAGTCGATAAAGCGCAGGAGGTCAAAAGACGTCTGTGTGGAGCTGAGAGGCACATACTTTTACCGGCGGCTCGCTTTCCCCGTGGAGGTAGTTTCGTTCCTGTCATTCTCCGGCCAGGTCCATTGAACCCCCATCGCTTTGTTATCGTGAATCCCTTCCTTTGACACTGCTTCATTCGGATCTGAAACTGACTCGGATAAGCTTGAAATCGAATTTCATGTTGTCTTGGTGTAGTTTGCAGGCAGTCCAAAATGGGGCCTGCATATCTCCACGACGGCGTGTGTTTTTGCCCCACAAGCCCACGGCGATTCTGCACTCGCAGTTTGTGGCGCAAGCTCTTGTCACGCTGTACATCACGTCAATGGCTTGATCATGGTCTGGCGACGACTTTATCATCAAGGACATCCACACAGATACCCCATTTTTCAAAGTGAACGGGTTGGCCTTTTCCATCCGACAAAAAGAACCCTCGTCGATAGCAGCGGCGTCTAAGTCGCGTACATGGAGGAGCCACTGATGTCGTGGACCCGGCGGCAGGTTGGGTACAATCCGCAAAATGAAAGTTTAAAATTATTTGACCACCCAACACCATGTTCACAACGAGTTGGACAGCACCGTTGTTGACTACGTAGTGGTCCAGACATATCGGCTCTGTTTGGAGGCAACTTCTTTTTGCGAAAGGCCGTGATAACGTGCGACGGAGTCCCTGTGGCCAAGTTGTGGGAGCCATTCGAGTGTCAGTGCACCGACTACTACGTCAGTATCGCACCTGGGTTTGACATGGCACTCATCGTGTTGCTTTGCGTGGCCTTGGATTAAAGTATCGAGAACGGTAGCACGCATGTATGTTGAGAGAGCCATCCAGATACGTGGCTTCGAAGTTGAGCGTTGGCCATATATATCCACGGCAAACGATGTGGGTACAATCGATTGCGCAGGTCCTGTCGAGCATCCATCCACCGCGTACACTATGAATACATTAACGGCTTTGCACCCCCACCCGAGCAATCGAGCGCAAAAAAACTGTATGATGGAAGAACGGCGAGGTAGTGCGGAGGGAGTTGGCGCCTCCAAGCGCCATCGTGGAGAGTTGACTTGCCGACTAGCCAAGAACTTGAATGATTCTTGCTTTATCAACTTGTGTGGACTATGCACGTCGGTTCATGCTCTTGGTAACGATTTCCGAGTCAAACCCCGTGGACGACGACGACATGGTGTCGCAGACACCATCTCTACCTGAGTGGGACAGCATGACAGCAGTCCACCTACGAGCCTAGTGCGACAGGTACACTTCTCACCATTCTGTCACGATGTATCAGTCTGGATGGCCACCATCGATCGTCTGAGCCGCATAATCAGGAATTGTCATTGCTGTCAGAGGCGGAGGCTGAAAGTTCCTCGAGTCTATGCTCCAAAAGATTGTGTTTCACTAGGAACCTCTGACCAAACGCATTAAAGAAACGCATTGGGATCGCAGGGAAGGTGCCACGACTTGACCATTGTCTGCTAAGTTCTCTCTACCTCTTTGTATCGAGAACTTGCCGAATGACCAGCAAACATTCAAGCTATCAATTGAGCCTTGTTCTCTTTAGCTGGGGAGCCTTCAATGCAGCGACCATTCCACCAGTTGGAATCCCAATTAGCATAGTCTAGATGCCGTTGAAGTGCTTCGTCAAGTCAGGACTGCGCATGGAATCGCGGCCCGCCAAGACCTTTCCCCACGACTCTCAAAACCCTTGCGTAGTTGCCGTGCAGATAGATGGCAATTGAAAACATAAGCGCTTGAAAATTATGCGTGTACTGCTCACGTCATCGTGAGACCAACAATTAGAACCACAAGGGCAAGAACACCCACTCTAAATACATAAACCCCCACACAATCTTTGTGTAAAACGCTGTCAGTCCAGCCAAGTTGGGCTTGTCGATCTGCATCAGACATGTGTTCGACGCCAGCACAGCCAATTGAGCCACGCGCACGGCCGCATGAAGAACCATTGTGCTGATACTCGCCGTACCGCTCATGGACTTGATAAACTCAATAGACGAACTCGCCCAGGCAGCCACCATGATCGCGAGGCACCCGCGGAAGACTGCCGTCAAGCCAAACTTGATGGGGAGCGTCGCAATGGCTTCAGCGCTGTCACCGAGCGTGTCGGGGAGGTCCTTAAAGATGGAGATGTTGAGCGCCCAGAGCGTGCTAAAGATGAGGATGTATCGCACAGCAGGGACGTCGAGCGCAGCTACACCGACCTTGTCCGCCAAGTGGACGGCCAGACACAGCGGAAACACCAGCCCACGGCATGTCGTGATGGCAATGGCGACGCTCAGCCACTGCTTCTTGAGGCGGATCATGGGCAGTGAGTACATTGTCCCCACGACAAGCACATAAAGCCACAGCCCAAACACGACGGGGGAAGTCGCATACGAGATAGCCCAGACGCTGACGACCAAGACAACGGTTAGAATCTTCCATGCCGACTCGACGCTGAGTTCGCCGCTGGCAAGCGGCAAGTATGGCTTGTTGATCTTGTCCATGGGGATGTCATAGATTTGATTGATCCCGACGATAAACACGTTGATGAGGATGAAAGCGATTGCGATGGGGAGGACATCCCAGTAGTGGTTAGTCGCGTCTTGATCGACGTAGCGCAGGATGACCCGGGATATTATGGTGGGGGCGAGCGTTGTGTGCACTATCGTATGGGGGCGCGAGAACTTCACGAGGGTCGAAATCAATGCCAGCATTGTGGGGGGGAGGTTGGGAGTGTTGCGAACGAGGCGAATTGGCTTGTGGAGGGCTTTGTGACCGTTCGGGGGCATTTTACCCATCAGGTCCACTTGACTTGCGTAGGTTGTTCCAGCAGAATCGATGCAGATATCATCTTACTTCGTAGGATATTGGTACCTGCACAGGGTGTTACCGAGGATGCACCCTGAGCTGGATAAATCAGTAAAACGACGAATAAAATACGTGAATCACTATATTTAACAAAATATTTCGACCAGATCATGTTCGGCTGAGTACATGTCTCTTTGTCTTATGCTGGGAAATCGAAGGAAATACACCTAACGTTATCGCGAAAAAGATGTACTTCGGATTAATAGCTACTAAAGCTCAATCATAATCCAAAATTTTCACCTAATCACATCCTCATCACGGCTCTTGATGAGGCTGAAGCTGAACTTTGGCCAAGTTCGCATTCGGTGATATTTACAGCTAAATTAGCCGGGAATGACACGAAATCATCGCCATCAAGATTTGGGATGGTGTTGGATGCACGGCTCGGCTGCAAATACTTGCTCGGTAGAGTTGGAATAGAGTAGGGTAATCTAAAATAGGAATCGTCAACACACAACTCACATCGAATTAGATACGTACTGTGCTTCTTTGTAACAACATAAGCATGTGCACAAAGCGACACAGTGTCCTGCGATGCACCGCATGAACAACTTCACGTTGTAAAAGTACGAGCAGCTTTCAAGGAGGTGTTCCTTTCTCGTATTCTGAATTTGGCATGGTGTCCTACGTTGTTGGAGCCCGCAGCTAACGTTTGAACGATAAATCGACGGGAAGCGTCTACTGCGGCTGCAATGTTGGTTTCAGCGACGGATACAAACCATTTGGCAGTCTCGAAACACCTTCTAACGAAGTTTCTTGAGCTTTGCACAATCTTCACCATGTATTGGTAATACGCCGACAGAGGGTTGGAGGAACGCATACAGACGCCAAGTCACGCGTTTTCTTCGACATGTATTACCTGTGTTTTACTTCAGGGAGCGGCTTGTTGACTGCGTTTATCAAACCTATTGGAACGATTTCCGTTTGAATACCAGGTAACGACTGTCATCTACACCATTATTTCGGTCGGGCTCGACAAGAATTTCTGGTTTGAGACTAATGTCGTGAATGTTGAGCATCATTAAGAATCAGTCCCAATTGTATGCGTCTTAAACTTGTGCAATTGCTAGCGCTACAACGTGGTTGCAATGGAAGACCATTGTGGACGCGACAGGGAACTCACTAGCCTTATTGTGTGTTTACTCTACACTTGACATGTGCCGAGTATGACCATGGGCTTGAGAGATTTAGCGCTTTTCTCTAAACACCATGGAACGACAATGCACCGCTTGAAAGCACCACTAGTGCAGTGCCTACAAAATTCCAGGAACAAATTGTGTTATGAAGGAAGCAAATAAAATACGCACCAGAATTGTCCTCTGTCAAGCGACTAGATAGCTAAATAATTATAGGTACCGTCTTCAACCGATCCATGTACGGCAGCTACCGCAGCTTTCTCCACATTCACAAGACTGAATTTAATTTAATTGCGATGTTCGATTACTAACTTCAACTTTATCGCTGCTTTGACCACCGCTGTTGTACCTCAACCTTCCTGTCCGAAAATTTTAGAAAAGGATTTTGCATGTTCATCTTCACATATAACTGGGAACCGACAATTTGAGAGAGGTATGGAGTTGTTAAATTGGCAGGTCCGACAAATAATGCATTAGGATTGGCTAAACGACGCAACTGCGGAATTGACGCCGATGTCGTTGTCGCTAAAGAACATATCGCGAACATTTAACATGTACATACACCGATTGGACGAGACAGGACGGTTATGAATTTAATTGGCTAAAATAGAACCCAGGGGTTTCAGGGATTTCATCTTGTGGAGGACGGCTCTGTCATTCCACAACATGAACGCCCCAGCATTGCCGTCGAAAGCAACAATCCAAGGATCATTCGTTCCGAGTCTACGTTGCGAACGTACAAAACATACCAGAAACAGTTCATCGATTACTGCAATCAACTCCCTGGGGTCGACCCACACACAGCTTCGCCAAGTGTCTGCACAGACTTCTTTCACCACCTGTACAGCCTGGGCAAGACTGCCCGCACAGTGGATTCGGCCAAAACTGCTTTGGTCGCATATTTCCACGATCTGAATGTTGAACCCAACCCAGCGCGCGCATTCGAGTCAAAGCAATATGTCGTCGGATTGCAGAAATACAACAAAAGAAACAACATTGACGACGAGAACAAAGCGCACCCGCTCACGGTGTTCGAGCTGTCATGCCTGGTAAATTCATTTTCCACATGTCACATATTTGTTG